CGGCGTTTACAAAAATAAGGTTAACACTTTGAGGATGTTTTCGAGTATTTCCTCTAGTGTGGCTGCATGTGTGTATGTGTGTGTGTGTGTGTGGTGGGGGGGGGGGGTCGGAGTTACAGGGTAACTTTTAATGACAGTAACCAGGCTTTATCCATACATATAAAAATAAGAACCTGAATTACATATAAAAATAAGAATTTCCTGAAATTATTTAGAAAATAAACGATTTTGAAGGGCTCAGGGGTCATTTCTGAAAGCGCCATGGTGTCAAACTAAAGGAGATGTCTGGCTATAGTGTTCTGGGTTTCCGGAAAGAGCAAAACGGGCCACTAAATTGGACGTATGGTGCAGTGAATGCAGGAGCCAGAGTGGATTGCAGGAATAACCAAATAACTGGCATGAAGGCTGTGCATGGACGCCGAAATCCCACCCGCTTGGCAAAATCAGCTGAGAGACTGAAAGTGGCAACCCAAGCAGGGGACCCACGGTGACGTTTTCTCCAGGGGCCGGGATGCTTAGCTACTCCCCTGCTGATGAGAATTTAAAACAGACGTCTTTGGTTGTGGTGACCTAATTAGTTTGTTGCCTTTACCTGGATTCAAGCTGCTTCATACAGCTGGAAATTTAATGGAAATGTGTTGCTTAAAATGCTTTGCAGAGCTGGAGCAGTGCCAGTTTACCTCTGAATGACAGAACATGAAAGTTCTTTGGGATGCAGGTGTGTTCTATTGATCACTGTACCACTGTAAACAATTAGGGTCAAATGACTGCATATTGATTCCAGTACAGAATACTGAAGAGATGGCTATCTCTCTCCCTGTCTCTCTGTCTCACTCTCCCTGTCTCTCTCTCTGTCTGGCTTGGTGCCCCTATACTTCTGTAATACAGCTTAAACATCTACTCTGGATCAGCGCACAGCCTCTGGGAATCAACAAGACGTTCTGAAAGGGCATCGAGACCCAATGAGGCCATACCTGATGTACATATCTGACGAGGTTGATGAGATGCAACTCAGCAGAATTGGTCATCTTCATCCATCCATACATACATTTTAAATAGCTAGTTAAATTCAGTGCAGGGTTGCAGTACTTATGGAGCAGGGATGTCTGTTACAGTGGAGTATAATTTCTGCCAAATTTGTATGTTTGTAAAAAGAAAGGTAGAGTACATCTTTAAAGGTCGTTAATGTACGTGTATCTACATAGAATTTCAAAGCTGTCAAAATTCAAAGGCACTATGAGTCTTTCGTGTAGAATTGAATCAACGATTGTGTATTTGCATGTACTGTTAGACTTCACATTTTCATTTTGCGGAACCATATCTGTGTGAAGAGGTTTGATGGATTACGGTGTTCAGTTTCCCTGCATACGTGTCATATTAGTCCAACTGTGGTTGGTCAGGTGATAAATAATCAGGCTCAGGTCTGAATGTTTGTTCCGGGATTAAGAAATCGTTTATTATAATGCTATAGGCTAATACGATTTATGTGTTCACGATCTGCTTCCCAGCATGGAACGGGATGTTTTAGTGACAGAGCTCTGCTCTTCCTTATTTGAAAATCCCTGCGACATCAAATCCGTAAAACCATGCGGTACCATGTCACGCATCTGGCGCAGTTTCCCCTACACCTGTGCTCCGTTATTGTATTAGATTTTCTTAAACAAATCTGTCGTGTACCTAGGAAATAACGTTCCACGTCAGCGAATGCCATTGACAGAAACGCTGCGGTGTTTACGTGCGTCATGCCAAGCACAGCGTAACCTGCGCACAACATGCGTACATACGCGTGTGTGGTCCCGTACGGACACACGGCGACCAGCGCCATTTGCGTAACGAGCCTCCGCAGCCGGAGCTCGGTTTGTGGACCTCTCCCGCAGGCGCGCGTGCACTTGGCGCTGAGTCTCTGTTCGGATCCAGACTGGTAGTGCGCGCGCGGCAGCACCGGGGAGGCGGTGTGTGCGTCACTTCCGCCCAGGGACTCGTGCGGAGTTCCTTTTTTTCTCTCTCTTTTTCTTGTTTGATGTCGTTCACTGGACGAGGCCTGGTGGTGATTACGGCTGGGGCAGCCCGGGACAAGGGGGGGGTCGAAGCAGCACAGCCGGGGAGGGAAGGAGACAGAGCGGAAAGCGAGGAGCGGCGCGCCCGTGGATGTTGTGATTCGGCCTCTGCAGCAACCTCGGCCGGACGTGAAGAGGAGTGAAGGAAAGCCCCGAGGTACACCGCCAGCGGGTCCGGGAGGGGGGAAGCACGGCCACGGCGGGGTGGCCCGGGGGGTCTGCGTCGGGCGTGCGTGGGGCTGCGGGGGTCCGCCGGAGACAGGTCTCTGCGGGGCCATGACCGTGACCATGACCGTGAGCCTCCTCAACTCGGCCGCCGGATAACAGACCCAGGTTTTCTGCATCGACTGCGGGCGCCGGGGGGTCTGACCCAGCTCACGGCTGCCGGCGGTGTCATTAGACCTTAGCCGCGGTTTCCGTGGTACCTTGGTCCTGCTGCCCCGACTCGTTTCCTACATTATCTGCGTTGGTGCTTTTTTTTTTTTTTTTAGCGTTGGTTTTAAAATAACACCCGTAAAAGGTTTTCTTTCTACGCGAATCCATCCCGGCTTCCGAGGTGCCCGTCGGCCGGGGAGACCGCTATGCTGCCCGGCGGGTTGCAGCTCCAGTGGCCGGCGTCTGTCTGCCTTATAAAAACGGGAAAAGTCTCTTTAGCTGCTAGGCATCACCCCGTCGTTATTATCTACATTATTAAACTACAGACTATTATTATTAATAATAATCATCTCGTTCAATACTGGACTTTCGTTGTGAACATACGTTTAGGTTGATTGTACCATTTTATATATTATAACGTTTCATATATTAGTGAATTCTTCTCTGAAGATGTGTATAAAGACTTTGGCGGCGAAGCACTTAGGAAACTAGCAGAATTGCATGGTTTATAATTGTCTTTGTTTTATTTTGACTCGGGACACATCTATAGCAACTGATGAAGACCAGCAGGTGTCATTTCATGTAAATGTTTATAATTTTTTATTTATTTGTTTATTTGTTTAAATCTACGTTCACATCACCGTGATCGTGCCCGAATCGGTTAGAAGTAACTTTCCATTTTAAGATGTTTAATGAGACGAAATATCACAGGATTGAAATTAAATCCTTTAACACCAGTCCTACAAATTAGGAAAGTGTGAAATGAATCCGCCGCCGTTTCTCTCCCTTCTGCCGCTGTCTGACAGCTTCGCTGAAACGCTTTTCCTCGCACAGGTAAAAGTTATTGTTATTAAGGTATTATCAAAAAGCAGAACAAAATCGCAGTTAAGGAGTCAAAGCCTATTTCGTTAAAACTACTAACGGTGTGTAGAGAAGTCTCGTTATGGCGAATAAATTAGAGCAATATATTCTGAAGAGTAAGAGATTGGGATTCTTCAGAGTATTAAGGTTAATTAAACATGAGGAAGAAGTGGTTTTTTTGAACCGTTATGTGATATCTTAATTCCTTATTTTCCTTTTGCGTCACCTTTGGTTGCGTCATTTAAGGTAAATAATGCAAAAGGACTGGGATCCCCTGTGCGGTCTGCCAGGTTTGGTGTGATGAGCTGTCTGTCTCCGTCACAGACCGGCTGGTTATTCAGAGCCAAAACGTTTCTGATTTTTATGCCTGATTAGAGAACTAACCTGTAGAAACTCCTGGTGTCACTCAGCGAATATATGTTGATCCTTCAGTTAACACCGTTGACCAGTAGGGGACGTAGAGGTTAAGGAATTGCAGGCTGACATAGAAACATTTCCTTATAACAAGGTGTTAAACCTAACGGTGCGAAAGACTTCAGAACCCCAGTGCAGTGCGATTAGTGTGCTGTCAATCGCTAACAAGCTTAATCTAGTCGGAATCGGTAGTTTTTTTTCCGCTTGAGTACAAAACACGAACAAGGACAAAACAAGGTGGATGTTGATGTTTTTTTTTATTTTATTTTTTTTAAACACCCCGATCAGGGCTACTCTAGTAACTAAGTGTTTTCTGTGGTGCTGGCAAATGTCACATCTTGGTGTCTGAAAGGCATCAGATAAAAACAGCCTTAAACAACATCAGCGCAAGGAAATGTGCTGGCCATATCACCTAAATGAAGCATTAACATATCAGCCCTTTTGCGTGCTTTACCTCCGTAAGAGTAAAGGGTACTGGATTTCCTTTTTTGTAAAGGTTAAAACGCGTAGAAGGTCCTGAAGACTGAACTGAAACGCTTCATTTTGGACGTACGACTCCAGAGAAATCTCAGAACTGGGGAGCGGGCTGATTTGCTGCTTTGAAAGCTTCTGCTGTCCTGAAGAGGTTTACACATCACACCGCAGTTTGTCAGGAGTTTGGGAGGCTGGGGTGCCGTGATTTTGAGGGCATTCTGGTGTCTGTGTAAGAGGTTGAAGTTGGGGGAATGTGATTTTCACCTAACAAGGACTGGTGAATGTTTTTATTTTCTTAATCAATATTTCTTGGGTTTTCCTTCTACTTTAAGCAACACATTGTTAGTTAGTTGTCTCCTGTCCACCTGTTGGTGGTCGTCCTTTTGGCCGCAGTGTCCAGCATCGAGCCTATTGGCCCCATAATAAACTCAAACGGAGTGTAGCATTGTTCCCGTTGGGCGCGGTTCTCTGATTGGCTGCCGATTGTCTGATACAGAGATTACGATGTTCTGTTCTACAAAAAAAGAACACCCGACCCAAACAAACCATGCAGATTTATCTGAATGCCGAGATCTGCAGATATCAGCCATTGGCAAATCTACATTTAGGTTGATGCTCTTATACTAAAATTATGATTTTACCCCAACCGCCTTAATTGTCGTCTTGGTGGAATACGTGGCAGGTTGGTGACTCAGCCATGTTGATGCTGATGGCATGAGGTGTCCATGGTAATCAGTATAAACGTGGCTTGGGCGTTCAAGTGGTGTAGGGGGGACTGTTAAGTTTGGCTGCCGAGAAGATTGGAAGAGATTTGTGATCACTCCCCTTCATCGCCTCCGTCCATGAGAGGGGCTTCCGGTGCCCTTGGGGACCAGTTTAGGGACTGGAATCAAGAGGGACAGTGAGTAATGACCTGACCTAGTTAGGGACAGCTTGTCTGTCTTGGTCTCAACTGCTGTGATGCTTTGGTTGAGCGACGACTCCAGCAACGCAACCTCGCTTTCATACGTTATTATATGTTTTGAGCCGGTGTGGACTGAAGCGTCTGCCAAATTCTAAGAGTAGTGTCAACCAGACAGATGTTTGGTCTGATTTGGCGTGAAAAGCCCAGTCTGGCAGGACTGCTTACACGCGCAGCGAGCGCAGCCTTTGGGTTTTTCAGCTCTGCGTGTCGGTTGCCTGTAAACGGCGTATTTGCCGCGTCAGTGTTATGAGAGATCGTGTTGACAAGGTGAAATCAATTCTCAATCACAAACAAATTCTTGTGGTGTATAATTCCTGTCAGGGGAGCAGATGCTTTCGGTCTGCGAAAATCCCCGTGCCGAGCAGGAACGCGCTAATCAGTCAGTCATCAGCTGATGGCTTGAATTCGCAGTGGCTCAGGCTGAGTCAAATAGCAACCGAAAGGCGGAGCGGGGCGCCAGAGTCAGCGCTGACACCGGACTCGCAGCCGAGAGCAGCCTTGTGTCTGAGGAGGTGCTGGCCATCCCTTTGCGGTGGCCGGCCTGTTTCCAGGCCGCTGGCTTTCTGTGAACCAGCAGAACTTGTTAAACGTCAGGGATAGACGACGGGAACCGTAGGATCGCTTTGAATTTCCCCTCTGCCCCCCCCCCCCCCGAGCTGCTGTGTGTCTGCGGTATTTGGCTCCTCCCACGTCTCGAACCCGCATAGACCCGAAACCCCAGACGAGTCGAGGTTCCCTGTCGGTGGGGGGAGGGGTGGTTGGTAACGTAGGGGTGCAGAGCTTTCGTAGAGTCCCCTGCTAATTCTGGAAGCCTTTTTGACTGAAGTGTTTCTCCCGGATGCTGCTGGGAGGGGGAGCGGGGGCGGGGGGGGTCCGAGGGATGCGTGGGATGAGGTTTCGGTGCTTCGCTATTAGGACTAGGGCATCGTTTGGGTGTTTTTCGACACTGATGCTAAAACGATACTTTTAAAACTGTGTTGGTCCCTAAACGTCGCTCGAATAAGGTCAAAGGCCAAACGAAGGTTGACGACGTCTTTTTTATTTCTAGGGCAAATTTGAACTTTGAATGAAACAATTTAACTTAACACTTATATATGCGATAAGTACAACACAGTTGGCCCACGCTGTTGAGCAGAGTGCATCCCTCTGCCTTCAAGTGTGTCCCGTGCCATGCCAGACGCGTCATTAAACTTGAGGCCTTCCCCCTTCACGCGCAGCTGCTTTTAAAGTGCACCCCAGCGTCGCAGTCCTTCCGAGTGAAATACAGCTTTAGACTGTTCAGCTTTAGGCTTTTTAACTGGGTTTGAAGTAGCTACTGGCTAAGGTTTGGCATCTGCTGACATCAGAGCAAGTGTAACATGAGCTGGAGATGGAACGTAAGGTGCAGTGATGCTTGTGCTGCATGAGCACCAGAGGGCAAATATTTCAGTGGACGGCTCAGGCATTTAAGAGGCACTGGTATCTGCGTGGCTGTGAGGTGAGGTCCAGTACATGTGGGCACCAGGTTTCGATACCCAGCCCTGTTTGTAATGGGGGGGGGGAAGGGGTGCTTTGGGGCAGGGGGGGGGGCTGGGAGAGGCAGCCAGCAGTTACTTAGTGTTCAGTTTGTCTGTAGGTCATTCAGCTGGCTTCCTGTATGGCGGTTTGGACGCACAGGTAACTCCTGTCCGGCAGCTGGTCAGCCACTCCGTCACAAGGACGGGATTTAGTCAGGAGTAATCCGGCACAGAGTCTATGGCGGGTGGGGCAGGAGTGCTCCCGGCCGGTGGTCTGTGTGTGCATGCCATCCAGGGCTACTGCTGCCATCCAGGGCTGCCGTGCAGTGAACCGTCACAAGTACAAAAACGGGCCGTCTTTCCTGCGCTGGACAGTAAGCAGGCCGTCCTCATCCAGTGCCCCCCTCCCATCTTTAGCCCTCTTGTCACACGCTCTCACTTTGTCCTCTCCCTCCCTCCTCTCGCACACTGCTTGTGATTTATCTGCTTTGGTGTCCCTGACCTGGACAATGACTTTAAGCGTAGTAGCCCGCAATTTCCCTGAATAACCCTACGCTCCTCTCTGCACAGCACCTCCTCCTGGTAGAACAGGGAAGTAGTCGAAGCAGGTGATGCAGTGTGATAGGATCTGTGAATGAAGAGAAAGCCGTAGCATATTCGTCTGAGATCGAAAGAGCTCCCTGGGGAGCAGGGCCTCCTCTTCCTCCCCGGAGATGGCTCCCTCTGCTTTGTCTGGTGCTCACACCCCCTGTTTATTTTCTTCTCTGTCCCTCCTCCTCCTCCTCCTCCCCCCCCCAGGTTCCCAGGTGTCGTCACGCCCTGTCCGTGCTAAAGCTCTCCTTGACGTGCGCCCCCCCTCCACCCTGCCACGACATCGCCGCCCCCATTAACCTCCCCCACCCCCTCCCCCAGCGCCGCCCCCTGACACTCCCTGCCCAAGCATGAACGACGTTACCGTGGTGAGAGAAGGGTGGCTTCATAAGCGAGGTAAGGAGCACGGCAGTCCATGCGCGCCCCCCACCCTGTCAGAGGGGTCAGATTGCGTTACCCAACTACAGCCAGTTTGTCAATATTTGCTTTTATAGTTTCGTCATTGGGACAAAAATAAATATTACTGTCATTATTACACAGCAAAATCCAGTGTTTTACTGTACGTTGGTGATCTGGCGTTTGACCAGGCCATTCTCACAGTATAGAAATCTAAAAGTTGCTGTTTCCCTGACTGGCCTGTGGGGGGCGCCATTCTCACCTCACACAGGTGAGTACATCAAGACATGGAGGCCACGGTACTTCATCCTGAAGAGCGATGGCTCCTTCATTGGCTACAAGGAGCGGCCGGAGACGTCGGACCACAGTCTCCCCCCTCTCAACAACTTCTCGGTGGCAGGTAGGGTTCCTGGGGCGGCGGGGGTTTCCCCGACATCGCGGCGCCGTGGGGGGGGGGGACTATCTGGCGTTCTGCTCTCGCTCATGCCAACTCCCGCTTCCAGAGTGCCAGCTGATGAAGACAGAGAGGCCCAAACCGAACACCTTCGTGATCCGGTGCCTGCAGTGGACCACGGTCATCGAGCGCACCTTCCATGTGGAGAGCAATGAGGAGCGGTGAGGGAGGGGGGCCGCAGGGGGACGGGGGTGTGGCGACGGGAGCTCGATCATCGGCTCCTCATGCTCCTCCGTGACTCTCGAGATGACATCTCCCGTGGTCTGTGTCCAGGGAAGAGTGGATGAAGGCCATCCAGACCGTGGCCAACGGCCTGAAGATGCGTGAGGAGGACGAAGCCATGGACTTCCGCTTTAGCAGCGACAGCAGCGGCATGGAGGAGATGGAAGTGACCATGTCCAAGTCACGCAGCAAAGTGGTCAGTGCCGGACACCCGGCCGGGGGCTACCTGTCCATCGCCCTTCCCCCTCTGTCTCTGATTCATGTTGTCAGTAAATGAATCAGCAAATCTGGGTGATCTCATGTGACCCGAATGGTCCTGCAGAGGTGGGTTAGCATGTTAGCTCTGTTCGCTGCTCATGCTCGTGTGACAGTACACACTCCGCTTTGACCTTGGGGACAAAATGGCCGCCTCTCCAATTCCTTTGGTTAATCATTTTCCATGCCCCCCCTCCCCCCCCACCCGCCCGCAGACCATGAATGACTTTGACTACCTGAAGCTGCTGGGTAAGGGCACCTTCGGGAAGGTGATCCTGGTGAAGGAGAAGGCCACAGGTGTGTACTACGCCATGAAGATCCTGCGCAAGGAAGTCATCATCGCCAAGGTGGGCGTCGCCCTTCGGGATGGGCCTCTCATTGGCTGCGATTAACCCTCTGGGGTCGGGCGCATCGTCGACGATGCAGCGCATTTTCCGCGTCTATTTCAGTTTATATCTCGCTGAAATCTTTATGTAGAATCATGAAGAAAAAAAAACGCTGACTGAATCCGTAATCGGTCTTCTTTTCAAAACGTCCATTGTCGGAAGTATTAAAGTTTTTAAAATTAGGCTAAATCTGCAAGAAAGTAAACCATGTCACCTTACTTTGTTTTACCTGCATCGGGGGCGTGTAGTACCGCTCTCACCCGAAGATCGCTATTCAGATTCTAAATAGCCGCATTAGCGTGTATTCAAATCGCATTCGCATGGTAATTTGAGGAACAACGCAACAGTGAAACGCGATCCAGATACATCCCCATCAGCACCATAAAAGGGGGGGGGGGGATGTGGCCAGGTGTCAATGGCTCATTCATACACATTAAAGTTGCTACATATTCAATGAAAGGAGCCAGAAATAGTGACATGAGTTTGGTTTTTCTTATTTATTTATCCAAATGAATGTTGCATCTACACCATTTAGTCATCTTCATGTAGCCAAGACTTTGGTGATCAGATATCTGGGATCAAAACAAACTGCCAGCATTGCTTACTATGTACTTTTATAATGTTTCTGCACGTGTTCCAAACTGCATTTTGCAATGTCTGTTGTCTTTGATGCCAAATTACAAACTTAATATGAATCTGACATATTTACAAAGTACATTAAAATAAAGATGAGTTTAATGGCAACACAAATATATAAGAAATAATTTATTTGCCATGAATTAAGTTTATAATATTGAAAAAAATGTATGACCATGCCCCAGTCAGTGAATGTGTGTTCCCTACCCCTACACCCCAGAGGGTTAAGCAGTGTTATACAGCACTTGTCTCCCTCCCCCCCCCTTCTGCCATGCATGTTGCTGATCCCATGTCCAGTGCATATTGTAAAATGGAACGTACCATCCGGAGGCGGGGAGGTTGGCTTCCTTAGCGTGGGCTGGCTGTGTCGTTGCCTGCCTCCTACGCCATGACTCTGTCTGCTAACCTCGGCATACATGCCCCCACTCCCTCCCCCCCCCAGGATGAAGTGGCACACACCGTGACTGAGAGCCGGGTGTTGCAGAATACCAGGCATCCCTTCCTCACTGTGAGTATGCGAGGGTGGAAGCTAGGGACCCAGGGGATTCCAAAGAGAATGCTGTGGTCATGCCTAAATATTCAGAAGACTGACCGAGGGGGGCGGACATCACACTGGTGCAGTGTGGCGACAGGGGGCGCTGTTCATATTTCCCAATGAGGTTTTTGACTGTCTTGGCCACACCCAGCTGTCTCACCCGTGTCTCTCGACCATACAGTCATGTTGACGCCATGCTGCTATACTTTTTCAGACACTAAAGTACGCCTTTCAGACCCATGATCGCCTCTGCTTTGTGATGGAGTACGCCAATGGAGGAGAGGTAAGTGGGCAGGAAAAGGCAGCCTAGTCCTCCCCCCACCAGAGGGCGCCGGCTGCAATGAGTTCCATCTGTAGCGCATGTGAAAATAAGCAAGCAGCTGTAGTCTTCCACAGATCTGGTTAAAAGAAAACACTTTAGGATGCATTCCTATTTGTGAAAACCTTCAAATTCAAGTTCATTGGTGTTAATCAGCTAGTGTTGGGCGGTATACCAGTTCATACCAAAAACCGTTTATTATTGTTATAATATGAATTTTTCTTATACCGCAATGCCAGTTTAAACAGCCTACAGAACGTTCGGAAAGTGGTGCAGCTGGAAACCGTTTAAGGGGGTGACCCTTTTCACTGCTGCACCACTAAAAATGTACCACGAAAGATCAGAAACGGAAGATATAGCTGACGCTGGAGTTGGAAATAATGAGACACTGGGGTTGTCAAAATCGATTCTCGGATACTAATCAATATTAAAAATTAGTATCTGATTAGAAACTCATTTTCACCTTTATTGGTACCAACAGTGTGGTTTTCGCCTCATTTGCCACAGTTCACACAGCATCACTACAGCGCAGCCGCACGTACATACACACGCGCGCAGCCCCTCCCCTCCTCTCAAAAGCCGCTGAACGCATTCGCGCTGGTTAACACACACATACAGAGTTACCCGAACATGGCATTTGCTGCAGCTGAAGGCACTTCGCAAGCTGCTTTAGTAAAAAGAAAAAAAAAAACCGCAAAAGTGCCATTTGGAAGTATTTTGCAGACGAGCATGGAAAGGCTAAGGATGTCGATAAGCCTCTATGCAAACAGTGCTACAAAGTTGTGGCGACGAAGTCAAGTAGCACGTTGAACCAGGCGAAGCATCTTAAAGACCGACATCCCGGGAAATTTCGCGAGGTCAGTTCCAGCAACACTGAACTATTAAACACTTATCAAAAATGTTAGCTTGGCCGGCTCACACTATCTATAAGCAGTTAGCCAACAAACACTTTATCATTAAGGTAGCGGATAGGCGCAATGGCTAATAATAAAATAATATAGTTAATGTTGAAACAATACAAAAATGTAAAACAAAAATGTGTCCTGTAAAATGTGGTAAACGCCCAGTAATACTTTATAAAAAAACAAAAAAAAAACAATATAACTTCGAAAAATACCGTGATATAAATTTCTGGTCATACCGCCCAGCTCTATAATCAGCCATGATCTAATTGTTCAGCGCTTAATTATGTTAATTGTGACTGGCTAATCAAGGAAACTATGCCGTCTTGGCTATGGGAATAAATGTGATGCTCCTAACAGATTAATTTAAATATGATTTGAACTGTGAAATCTCTGTTCTCTGTCGTCCAACTGATGATGAGTGTTTTTTACCGTGATCGCTAGGCTTTGGCCGTCAGGCGCTTAATGTGTGTGCAGTCAGCTTCATGTCGCTGTTCCTCTCTCTCCATAGTTGTTCTTTCACCTTTCCCGGGAGCGCGTCTTCACCGAGGACCGGGCACGATTCTACGGCGCCGAGATCGTGTCCGCGCTGGAGTACCTGCACTCTCGAGACGTGGTCTACAGGGATCTCAAGGTGAGGGACTCGGGTCAAAACCGGCTGGGCTGCAGATGGGACGCAGTCCAAGATCTGCATTCGCAGAAGAGACTCCTAAGTAGACGTACATATGCATGCCTTCATCTGCCGTGGTCTGCTTTGGATTTCCCGGTAGCTGGAGAACCTCATGCTAGACAAGGATGGCCACATCAAGATTACGGACTTCGGCCTGTGCAAGGAAGGCATCACCGACGGGGCCACCATGAAAACCTTCTGCGGCACCCCCGAGTACCTGGCCCCCGAGGTACGGCCCTTCCGGATGCTAAACACATTCCCGTGAGATCATCAGGTCTTCAGTGTTGGGGGAGTATGTGTCCTGTGGTCCACAGCCTCTTGTCTCTGCTCCACCCAAGGTGCTGGAGGACAATGACTACGGCCGGGCAGTGGACTGGTGGGGGCTGGGTGTGGTCATGTACGAGATGATGTGCGGCCGGCTGCCCTTCTACAACCAGGACCACGAGCGGCTATTCGAACTCATCCTCATGGAGGAGATCCGCTTCCCTAGGAACCTGTCTCCTGAGGCCAAGGCGCTTCTGGCCGGGCTGCTCAAAAAGGACCCCAAGCAGAGGTGGGGCTCCGTGCTGCTGATGGTGATGGTGCTGGCGGGGGGGGGGGGGGGCGGCTGTGCTTTGGAGGCTCATAGTGCTGATTTGCAGGCTTGGAGGCGGGACTGACGACGCTAAGGAAGTGATGACCCACAGATTCTTCAGCTCCATCAACTGGCAGGATGTCCTCCAGAAGAAGGTGAGGAGGGCTCATCATGCAGGGCTTCAGGGGCATCTGTGGGTCAGGAGTGCAGAGCTCCTCAGAGTCGGGCAAATTGAAAGTTAAGCCCCGGCAACCACTGGGTGTCACTGGCTGCTGTGACTGGCTCAGCATCTGACTCTCTGATTTGATTGGCTGTCTCAGCTGACCCCGCCCTTCAAGCCCCAGGTGACGTCGGAGACGGACACGCGTTACTTTGACGATGAGTTCACCGCACAGACCATCACGCTCACACCCCCGGACAAGTGTGAGTAAAGTGCCGTGTCTGCGCAGGCGCATCTTCACATCTGCGCATGCCCCGAGTTTTCTCTGTGTGTCTGCACATGCGCATTTACGCATGCGTCTGCACGTGCCCATCTGTGCATCTGGACCTGCGCAGGCGAGTCTTCACATCTGCATCCAATGCATTTCTCTTTGCCCAATCATGGCTGCGCATATGTCTGCTCATACCTGTCTCCACCTACCTCTCTGCACGTCTGTGTGCGTCCGTCTTCGTCTGCCCAATCGGCTAATCTCCACGCATCCCTTTATCTGCGCATGCGTGTGATTAATTGTTTTGCGTCTCCCTTTGAAATCCCTCTGACTGTTTGTCCATGTCGCTGCAGATGATAGCCTGGACTGCGAGGAGTCGGACCACTTCCCGCAGTTCTCGTACTCAGCCAGCATACGCGAGTGATGGCACCCCGGCTCCGCCTCTCGCTCCCTCGCACGCGCAGTCGCACGCGCAGTCGCACGCGCACACACAGCCGCAGGCCCCGACCTCAGGAGCAACACGTGCCTTCGTCGCCGCCGGCCTTCTCCGGTCCACCAGCACCCGACACGCTCAACACGAAACGACCCGCCGCGTCCTCACCATCTTTCAAGAAGCAAATTTTTCGGAAAGAAAGTATTTTAAACCTTATCTGTTTTCACTCATTGACATGGTTTTAAAAGCCATATTTACATTTTTTTTTTCTTCCTAAAGGTGCTCTTTGTAGAACTGTTACGATACTTTGGACCCAGTGCTGATGGTCTGTGTCAACTGTGGACAGATTAGAACAGATTGGCCCTTAAATAAATAAACCACACAAACTGAAGCCCCGGATTTAACCTGGAGACTGGAAATAATTGTAGATATTTTTCTTGGGGGCTGGGAGGGAGCTGTCCATCTGTCGGGCTGCTGGCACCTGGGCAAAAAAAAGGACAATGCCGATTCATCCAGACTCATTTCAGCCATTTTGAATGTAAAAGAATCTCAAGTGTTGTTTTTTTTTGGCCCTTAGACGGTTGCTGTTACCATGGAATGTTCCAGAACTCACTTCACAGTTATGAACATTGTGCATATCATATTATTATTATTTTGTCTTGTTGAAGCAGTATGTGGAGAGATGTGTAATATCACCTGGGGCTTGACAGTAGCGTGTAGACTCACACTTCTGACCGTTTTGATTATAAACAAGCCATATGCTTCACTCTCTGGGGGGGGGGGGTCACACCTGTGTGCCCCCACGGTGCTGCTCCTGTGTTGTCCAGGACGAGGCAGGACCTCCGGCTTATTGTAAACATCACAATGACAGTTTGGTTTTCTTGTTGCCTTTTAAAATATTTCAATGCTTTGTAACTTTTATAAATTTAGGTCCCCCCCCCCTCATAGTCCTTTGTATCCCTTGATACTTTGGAAGGTAATGCTCAAAAAAAATTTATAAATGTATATTAAAAACTTTTGTTGTGTTGATTTTCTAGGTTTGATGTATTATTAACCGAATGATGAGATGGTTGCAGCTTGTGGTTCAGTGGGCTAAGATTCTGTGGTTGTCATCAGAAGGTTGCTGGTTTGAGCCCAGCCTCAGCACATCTGTGGGTCCTTCAGCAAGGCCCTTAACCCCTCAGCTCCCTGAGTACTGTTATGGGTGGCTGCCCTTCACGGACAGCCTGCTCTCACCTATAGAGAGGAAGTTGGGGGAGGCGTAAAGAGAATTTCCCCAAAGGGATCAATAAAGTCTCAATTATTATTATTACAGGGATTTTGAGCCATTCCTCTTACAGATCAGTAGCCTGGTCACTACGAGGGAAACATTTCCTGACTTGCTCCTCGAAAACACCCCCAAAGTACATCGCCTATTCAGATCTGGTGACTCTTCAGGTCATAGAAGATGTTCAGCTTCACTTTCATGCTCATCAAACCACTCTGTCACCAGTCTTGCAGTGGGTATTGGTGCATTATCATCCTGATTCATGGCACCATCTTCAGGGCACAGTGTCCGTGGCAGTGATGCGATCATCTAGAACAGGGTTATTCAACTCACGGTCCTCGAGGTCCGAGCACTGCTGGTTTTCCAGCCTTCCTTTACCTGTCAGTCAGGTGTGAAGCCTCTGAACAATCAGAATCAGTAATTATTAAACTAACTACCTGGGAGAACTGAAAACAAGGCCTGGATTTGGAATCGAGGTCCAGAGTTGAAGAACCCTGATCTAGAACAAGTCCTGAGCCTAGGGAATGCCATGGTATTGCAGCCCGAACCATCAGTGATCCACCCCCATGCTGCACTCGGGGAACACGACAGTCTTGTAGGGTTTCTCTACGCTGTAACTCTCCCAGATGTGGAACGACTCATCAGAGAACAATACAGTTCACTACAATTTTATAACTTTGCATTGTTGGCATCATTGAAACAGCTGTGTTCTCAGTACAAGCCAGGTTAGTACCCAGACAGCCCTTTCAGACCGTTTCCAATGCGCCCAGTTACTCCTGTTGGATGTGGTCCGTCCTTTTTGGTGGTATGCTGACATTACCCCGGATGCTGTCACACTCGATACACCACAGAAACTTGCTGTCCTGGCCACAGATGCACCAGCAAGATGCGCACCAACAATTTGTCCTCTTTTGAACACTGACATGTCTACCATGTTGTGTGGATTGCAGTGTTACATCCCTTTCAGCCCATGGCTGCAAAGTATGTTTTGTTCCTTATCTGTCTGTGTCTTGTTCTATTCCAGGCCTGGCTCCGTACGTTAATTGATGGGATGTGCTGGCGTGCGAGGCCTGTCCCAGATCGATTGCATAAAAGGGGGCTTGGTCTGTGTGTGGGGGGAGAGGGAGCTGGGGGGTATTTTCCGTACGATGCTTAAATCATCTGAAATCGGATGCCTCATCCTGGATGAGTTAATGCCAGTGAGACTCATCCAGGATAAGTCGGTTTTTCAAGCGCAGCTGTGTAGTAGATTAGTCTGGCTGGATCCGTTCATCGGAGATGATTGCGCGCGTCCGCGCTGCTTGAAAACCCCATATACATCGAGTCAAGAAAACATGACGAAAGGAAGAGCGCACCTTTTTACACAAGCAGAGCAGGGCCTCGTATTAGAAGGATATGAAGAATTTCAAGAACTAATATGCACAAGGGGTGACAGCAAAACCAGCCCAAACCAGAAAAGACGGCGGGCAAAAAGTGGCCAACAAATTAAACGCGGAAGTAGTGTTCATTGTACTTACTGAATGCAGCGTTTCATTCCTATGTGTCAGAATAATTATTATTTAATACAGTAAAATCCAGTTATAACGGACTTCAAGGAACCTGGCAAAAAAAGTCCGTTATATCCGAAGTCTGTTATGTCCAGAGTTGCTGTATGGCCAGAACACAACTACAGGACACCATTTACTCATGCCACACCCCAGCAGACACACTTGTGGTATAGATTATTATATTGTACATGTTGTAATCCAACTTTACCTGAGCAGATGCGTGACTATTAATAATCCAGACTACGTACGTATCTGTGCTGGAAATCGCCGGCATGCTGCGCGCCTTGTAGGCTGTGTCAGGGTCAGCTCCTGTCCCACTCTGTGTCCCTTCCCCGTTTGGCCAGCAGGTGTTGCTGGTCACCCTGTCCCTTGTGCTGTCAGTCTTTGTGTCGTCCCTTGCTCCCTGTCAGCTGCATAGCTCAATGTATTGAACATGTGCCTTCCAGTAACCCACTCTGTCTTATGTTCGAATCCCACCTCTATTTTTGTAGATTTTGTTCCCTAGTGTTTCATTGTATGAGTTTTTCTAGTTCCTGTGTCTTCTGATTTTTATTTGGTTTTTGTTTAATTCTTTGTGCCCATTGTTGTATTTCTACCTGTCTGTTATTCCCCAGTGTTAGTTTCTGTTTCCCTGGTTAGTTCTTAGCTTACCTGTTCAGTTCCCTGAGTTAATTAGTTTCACCTGTTACCCGTGCTTGTACCTGCCCTTGTGTGTTTCCCTGATTGCTCGTTGTCCTGCACCTTCCCCTATTGGTTAATTATCTGTTTCACTCCTGCTTGTCATTACCCTGTTGTTTTTGTATTTAAGTTTCTGCCTGAGTTTTAGTCCCTAGTGCAGGGCTATTCAACTCAGGCCCTCGATTCCAAATCCTGGCCTTGTTTTCAGTTCTCCCAGGTAGTTAGTTTAATAATTACTGATTCTGATTGGTCAGAGGCTTCACACCTGACTGACAGGTAAAGGAAGGCTGGAAAACCAGCAGTGCTCGGATCTCGAGGACCGTGAGTTGAATAGCCCTGCCCTAGTGGTTCATTGTTTGTGATAGTTGTATTGTCAGTAAAGCATCTTGTCTTTGCCCCTGCACCTCTGCCCAAGACCATTCATGAGCTAGTGGAGATGGATTTGGAGGAATCCACTTCAGAGGACTTGTGACCCTAGCAGTGCCCTTGTGTGCGTCCGGTGTTCACGCGTTAGGTGGGGGTACTGTAACGTAAGTAATCTGCTTCAATGTTTAGTTAACTTCACCCTCTTAAATGGTAATGTAATATATATGGTACAATTGAATACTCAACCTAGAAACCGGGCTTCTCATTCACACCTTTGTGCACTATAGTATGACATGCCTTGTTTCCATCTGATTTTTAAAGCAGTAAATCAGTCTGGACCAGGACACTGTCACCTTTTCTATATAGTTGGGTACCTGATGTGTATTGAGAAGTTGATATTTGCCTGGCGCAGAGAGGTTTATGCTATTAAGGTTACAGTCTTGAGGGCCTTTGAACTAATTCCCAAGGCTTATCGGCAGCGTTTTAGAAATATGTGAAAACAACCAGATTAAACAGATGTTGAATTTGCTGGATAGTTGCAGTTAAAATGTCAAAGGTGGTGTGTTGCTTCTAATGTTAAAACGTTTGACAATATGGTGGATTTAATAGTTTTGGAGCAATTTAAAAATACTCTGGCAGGGCGTGTTGCGACATATGTGGTGAAGAGAGGCTCAGAACGAAGCTGAGGCGGCTGTGTTGGTAGATCAGTATGAATGAACTCATAAGGCTCATCCTGGTGACGCCTGCTTTTAGCAAGTGTCCAGAAAGATGTAAATTCATTTCACAATAAAAGTCCAAGTGTTAACACTCTGCCGGCTGTTGGTGTTAAACCTGAATTAGAACAAATGGGGAGGGGACATTGGAAATGGAATAGTCCAGAGTTGTAATCCAAAGGAAAATCTCCTTACTCCTATGTGAAACCTACGTCTTTTGGTGTAGCGCCTTGTGTCACGCATCACTCTAGTTCCTTCTGAAATGAATCCTACTGATGCCCCATTTATTTCAGATGGATTTGTTTCATTAGTTGGCCGTGCAGAGAAAGTTCCCATGAAAATTTTTGTGTTTATTTTGAGGTCTTTATTGCCGTTTTCAAGTTCTGGGAGGTATTGATCGCAATACTTTTGAGGTTACTTTACTCAAGGTGGTCCTTTATTCTGGTTTAGTGGAAGGTGAGGTTGAATAGTGGGTGGGTCCTGCCCTCTCTGTTGAGGGGGTGTCTGTGATCCTTGGGAATAATTTAGCTTGAGAACGTGTCTGGCAGAATCATCCTGCGTCTGTGGAAACTGCTTCTCAGTCGGAGTCTGATGCCCTTACAGAGCAGTTCCCTAATGTGTTTGCAGCCTGTGCAATAACCCGCGCTGCTAGTCGTGCTGCGGCAGAGGTTGAACAGCTCAAGGTGGTGGCAGGGAAGGCTAGGTTCGCGTTACCAGATTTTCCATTACCATTGTCACGTAGCAAGTTTAAGGAACAACAGGCAGATCAGTCTCTTCTCTGATTGGTCGAGCTGTTTCGGCTGACTTTTGAGAGCATAGCTCATGGGTACGCTATTCAAAATGGATTGCAGGTGAGAAAGTGGACACCCTTAACTGACACTGTACTGGGGGAGCCATGGTTACAGGTTGTTGTGCCTTCTGCCAACCATCAGTCAGTGATGAAGACCGCTTTCTTCCATATGTATATAGCGCTGCAGAACCTTTTGCACTATTTGTTTGTGTTTTCAACATACGTTTGCACTGGAGGAGCTCTTGTGCCAGTATCTGCACTTGGCTCATCTCCATGCATGACTTTAAGGCCTATTGCTCTGCTAATTGCTAATTGAAACTCTGCTCTTACCGATGGAACGTGCAATCAATGGAGACTAGCCACCACCCTGCGCATATGTAGCCGTGAAACCACAAACACTATTCACCAGTGTTTGTTTCATTGTCCCGCCCCTGCAGATTACAGCCTCGAAAGGAGTTTTAATGGTTAACAGCCCTGTCTGCAATTCGGTCACGTCTTCATGTATCTTTTAAATAATGGACTGTTTCGTTTATTTCAGCATTTTATTTTTTAAAATAATCAATGTACAAATTCCTTCCATGCCAATGTATTTTACTGATTTCTTTTACAACAAAGCAATAAACTACGGCACTTTGTCACACTTGAAACAGTGTCAGCCTGAATATTTAGTCAGAATTTACCACACTAGAAACACCCAGTACTCACATGAGGAACAAGCAGAACAGAACCACAGGCTGAATCAGGGTAAACAGGACACCGTTTCACACGGTACTATGAGCTCTAACAGAAGCAAGACTGCAGCTAGCAGTGTATCTGCATGAAGCAGTTTAGTACAAGCTTAAGGCCCATTTTAATATACTGTACATTAGTGCAGTTAAGTAGATTTCCCCCCTAACCCCCAGCATCCTCCAGCCTGTCACTTAAAAGGACCAAAGACTCAGGCCACTTACTCATGGCAGCCGTTGGTGACCTTTGTAACAGGAACAGAAGCCTGGCACCCACAGTGGGGGGAGGGGCTAACTGGGCACCTGTCAATCACTGCCATATAAGCCAATCGGAAATGGCTTAAAACACTGAGCACCAAGCACCCCCAAAGTGGGTTATGAACAGGGGTGCAGAGAACTGATACGGAAGTACGCATTCACCTTTAAGGACGATACTTGCGGCAATTGATTGTTTGAAAAAAAGTACGCATTTGCGCTTTTACAAACAATTGATTGTTGCACAAATCGTTCTTAAAGGTGAATGTGTACTTGCGTACCAATTATCTGCACCCCTGGATAACCCCTGTTTAAGAAGCCTCTGTTTAACCATCGGTCCTGCTTGGAACTGCAGCAGGATGAGAAAAATAAATAAAAACGTGGCGAGTAAATATGGCACAATTGTTAAATATAGTGCATCCATGACACCAGAAGCCACTCACACCAAAGCCGGGCTCTGATTGGCCCCTGCTCTCAGAGGCCCGCCTCTTTGGGCTGGTATGGCAGGGCGGGGTTGTGGCGGTAAATGTAGGCACTAACGTCCCCAACGACGTCGTCCAGCTGCGCCAGCTCGGCGAGAGAGGCCACGCAGGGGTCGTGCTCCGCTAGCAGGGCCGGAAGCCGCGCAGACTGCCGCTGGATTCGGCACGAGCGACGGACCGGCGTCAGGAACTTCAGATCCTTGATGGTGCTGTGGCGGCGGGGGGCGCTGCCCGGAGTTGCGTCCTGCTGGATCCTCCTCCTCACACTGGGGAGGGGGGCAAAAAATAAATAAATCAGCTCAACTGCCAGTAATGAATTATTAAGCAGTGAGCGGGCAGACAGACTGAGACGGACAGGCAGACGGCAGACTGAGACGGACAGGCAGACGGCAGACTGAGACGGACAGGCAGACGGCAGACTGAGACGGACAGGCAGACGGCAGTCCAGTCAATTCAAGCTTTGTCATCTCAACCATGTACAGGACAGAGCAAAACAAAATAACATTCTTCCTGGACCCACGATGCAATACTCCTGACTGGGTGGACATTACATTGCTAATGACACAGTCTTCGGAACAAAGTACATAGTGCAAATCAATTATTTAAAGGGAGGACAGAGTACTACTTCTACTGCCTGGCCAAAAATAAGTTGCATTTCATTGGACCTCCTTTAGCTTTGATTACAGTGCATAATCAATGTGTTTCCACATGGTTATGCAACAACTACACATTGTTTTTCATCCAGATTTGCATTAATTTCTCGCCGAGATCTTGTATTGATGACAAGTGAGTAGAACAACTCCATAAAGTCATCTCCAGCACATCTCAAAGACTTTCATTGGGGTTAAGGTCAAGACTCTGGTGGCCAATTCATGTGTGAAAATGATTCCTCATGCTCAATGAACCACTTTTTGACAGTTTGAGCCGGATAAATCTTGGCATTACCGTCCTGCAATATACCCATGCCTTTAGGAAAGGAAAAATCCATAGAAGGGATAACCTGGCCATTCAGGAGATTCATGTACTCAGCTGTAGTAATGATTCAATCATTGGCTCTTAAGTACTTGCTGATTTAAATTCAAAGTGACATTTTTTTGGCCAGACAGTGTATATTTACTACCTAACATAAGAGACACGCCAGTTTACACAAACAGTGAACATGCACTGCGTAACACTGGGGAATTAGCGGGCTGTCCTTGTTGAAAGGCGAGCGCTGACCTCTGCAGGTAGGGTGTGGTCCTCACGCTGTATCTCACCACTGACGCTCCCTCCAACTCCTTCACACCTTCCTCATCGTGCTCCAGCTCCTCTTCACACTCCTCCTTCACTGGGTTGTCCTCCTCCTCTCTGTCCCCCTCCATCTCGTCCAATTTATCCCCTTCGACTTCCTTCTCACTGTTCCCACGGTCTCCTGAATCTACATGGGACAGAGGTGATCAACCCGACATCCATCGCCGACAGTGCAACTCGTTAAGCCACGCCCCACTCGCACCCGCATCCGGCGACTTACTCGCATCGGACGCTGAAGCCACATCCATGGCCTCCAATGCAGTGCAGAGATTAATCACCAGCTAACGGGTGAGAAGAGCAACATCGTTAAATACGTCACACTTAGACGCCGTGACCAAAGCAAAATTAATTGAGAGGTTCTTACATCATCCATTCGGACTTCCGGGTCCTCGGGCAGCTCTAAGTCCGAGTTGTCCAGCAAGTCCAAAGTAGTGTTCAGCAGGTCTGGCTTGGGTGAGGCCGTTCTCTCGGGTTCTGACCCGAGGCCAAACACAGATTCCCTGGAAGGTATGAGGTCCAATCCAGGCTGGGCCATAGGCTGAGGTTGCAGGTTCGAATCCTGCTTTCCCGCAACAGCCTGGGGCTGGGAGCCAGCTCTGGGCTTTGGGTGCGGTTTGGATGCAGGTCTCAAATTGGCGGTGGCAGCCGCAGCCGGGGGCCTTCTCAGAGTCTTCCCCTTGGCGGCCAGCCACACTGAGAGCTTGGCCCTGATGTAGCAGGAAAGATGGGATTTTACACCATTTAACACGGGAACATCAACACACACCAGGGCAAATAAGGACAACAATGTCGGCACAGACAGACTATCGTGACAAAACAGGATGCGATTGACAGTAGTAGATGTAACATGCATTCTTATATACATTTATTTTCAGTCGCTTCAGACGTATTGTGCCAAAAACAACTCGCCTTCTCTCCTCCGCGGTTTCCATAGTAACCCGGTACTGACTCGTGCTGCTGGCAGTTGGAGGCTTTGGGGCTTTCTTCTCTGTTGCTGCCACCCCTAGAGGCCTGGGTTTGACACTCAGAATTGGCTCCTTCCTTCTCAGAGTGCCGGGCGCCTTTCTGGACCCTGGTCTGGCCAGGGCACCTACAGCCGGCCCCTTCAATAAGGACTCTAGGCCAGGGGCTGGTCGCTGAGGTTTGGGGGCAGTTGACTTTGGAATCGTGTTCCCTGCGTTCTTGTTGGCTGGGGGTTGAGGTGGCTTGTGTGGTACCGATTTGGATCTGGGGGGCAGAGCCATCTTCTGCACTTGGGGCTTTGAGGGCGCTGCAGCAGCCGTGGACATCGCTCTCCCCCTGGTCAGATTCCCTGACTTTGTGATCCCTGCCTTTGCTGCCACCGGCTTTGCAGGAACTTTAGCCGCTGCCTCACTGTCGCCACCCGCTAGCTTCCAAAAGGAGCTCACCTTCGACTGAACCACCCGGCCTTTGTAGGTGCCTGGGATGGACTTGGGTGGGCCGACAGCATGGGGCTTGGCAACCTCTGCAACCAGCTTCTTCTGCTGCACTGCTTGCTGGGAAAGGAAGGCTTGGCTGATGGTTTGGCGCTTCTCATTGGACGGCTGAGCTGCTGGCCCCGCCCTCGGCTCATTCTGCTGCTCAGTCAGGGTCTTGGTGGCCCCGAGGGTGGCTGTCTCATTTTTCTTACTGGCTTTGGCCAGGCCGCCTGCCGCCACACCTGCTTTCCTGTTTTTAAGCACCGGCTGGGTTGTTGATTTATTGCCTCCCGTTGCTGGTTCAGTGTTCTCTTTATCCTGTGTTTTCAGGAGCAGAAGGACAGACCACGACAATATAGCACTGCGCAAACCTATAGCAAATTTACCCATTATACAATATACAGAAGCATTTTACCTTTTTAGTGTTCATTTTCCTTCGCATTACCGGATCCATTTCGCTGGGTAACCGACTGCCTCTGACCTGCCAGACAGCAGCGTCTTTATACACTGAAGCTGAACACAACCAAACTAAAATATCGATTAAAAACGTCCAATAAACAATAAAAAAATTGGTCGATGTTGACGGAAGTTACAAATAACGACAATAATAAACTGTCAGAGAAAAACTCTGTAAAACTAAGAGTAAACAAATAGCATTCGTATTAACAAACGAGCTATACACCACGTTGCCATTAGCGAGCTACGTTGGTTAACATGCGCTGCAGCTTATTTACTTTACAGGCTGTGTTGTTAGCGTCTTACCTGTATATTCTTGTTAAATCGTCGGTAACGGAGACGTTGCACTACCGCCCTGTTACTCTACAGCCCGACCGGCCGGACTGAGCCGTTTCAGCGCCGAGGACGAACGACGCTGTTCGACTTTGGCGCTGGAGACTCGGCCTCTAATTGGCTCGTCGTGCTGCTCTGAAACTCAAACGAGCCAATCAGAGAGCGCGGTTGTGTGCCTTAGGTCAATAAGATGACCGCCCGTAATAAAAAAAAAGAGAAAAGTATGAATTTCGAACAAAAATAAGACTCATTTTATTCCGGTTACAACGTTTTGGATGAGGGTGTGTCAAATAATTTCACTTAGGCTTTGGTCACATGTTTGTGTTGCACTGTACACATCCAAGCTGAAATGAACAGTTTCGGTGTCTGTCCAGTGTGTGCTCCTTAATTACCAACTGTATTTCAACATCTGGCAACCCCAACCTGTACGTCCTATGCTGTATCTAGTATTACAGGGCTGTCGAGTTTCGTCGAAAGTTTGGAGTGAGATCACATCAAGGGTTACTAACTTTGGCCAGCTGGCTGGCGTGAGACAATCTGCACACACATACACACGCATTTACATATGTGTAACAGTTTTATTACCTTGTCAATGGTTTGTAAGGTCTGTAAACAGCCCCAACGCTTCTGATGCAGCCAATTTTTGATTTATAATGGAATACTATAGATTTGCCGTAAGATTTCTTGCCGTGAGCGTCTGAGTGTGAAAGCGTGAGTGTCACGCCACGAGTTTGCAACCGTGTAATAGTGTGACATGGATAAGTCTTTGCACCTACACCTGCAAACCAGTGTTTTCGCTGACATCGATAACAACCACTTACCCAAACTGACTAATAGTTTATCGACTTCCAGACCTTTTATTAGTGTATTAATAAAGATTATGAAAAAATACTGAGTATATTTAGATGTTCCACTAGAGGGCGCTCTGCGGCCTCGCTCTCCGTTTCTGCTTCTCTGTTATGATCTTCATGTGATCGAAATAGGAAGTGAACGCAGTCGGACAGACTGACTGAAGTGGCTGTATGCTCCAGGGATTTTGACATTAAAAACGGCCCATACATGAAAAGGAAGGGTAATTCGTGTCTGATAGCAGTAGCGATGGGTGTAGTCTTTCTGGTAATGGTGGTGTTTTACGGGACCATCAGTCCTCAGGTGAGTACCTACATTACCGCAGCGATCTGCCGTAAAGCATAAATATACAAACAAATAATTTGCACATATGTCTTGCACACAACGTGCGTGCTGTATAATCTTATTAGCCTGTGTGATTTACATATAAGAACCTGGGTGTTTGTTTGTCCGGTTTTGTCAGTCTCCCCATTGTCCTGTTATAGTTAAGCATTTATGATTTTTATTCTCTTGAATAGTAACAGATTATTTTCTGGTTGCATATGCAACTACGGGTAGCTGCTGACCGTAGCAGTGTTTTTTATTAAGAACAGGAACAAAAATGCGTGTGTAGAGAGGGCGGCGACGGTACGAATTGTGATGCTTTAACCATTTTATATACACGGTATATAGAAAATAACCTCCGATCTGGGGATTATCCAGAGTGGTGAAAAAAGCTGAATTAAAGCCAGCTCTGTGTGTGTGTGTGTGTGTGTGTATGTGTCGGTGCTGCTTTGTACCCTCGCCTACACACCCATCCGCAGCCCAGCGCCGCCGCCCCCAACACGGACTACCGGCTGCTGGGGAAGCCGCTGTACAAGCTGGACATCTCCTGGCCCAAATACACAGAACATTTCACCGGAGAGGTGTTCGGGGTGGCCGTGAACCAGGTGGCCGGCCTGGTGTATGTCGCACAAGTAAGGCGAGCTCTGGCATTTCATCAGTGCATCCATATCAAGCAGGACACACCTCGGGGCTGCAGTGGTCACTGTCACTTGCGACACAACTAGTTTGAAAGTAGCAGCTTAGTACATTGTCTTTGCAGCCAGTAGATGAAAATGCTTACATTCATCACTGACTATAGGCAGTATTATAAGATCCGAAACCAGGGGGAGCTGGTTGGTTGGATAGCTGGATGTTTGCTGTGACGGCAAATCCTTCCTTTGCAGAGGGGGGAGAATGTGCCCAAAGTGCTGGTGTTCTCCATGGACGGAGACTTCCTGCAGACTTGGAACACCAGCACGCTGGAGATGCCTCATGGGATCTTCTTGAGCAATGCGTCCAGTAATCCTACCGTGTGGATCACGGACGTGGGGAACGGTGAGGGGCCGGCCTCAGGCATGGTTGATTTTTAACAGCTGTGCCATATATACAAACGGGACCATAATCATAACCTCGCTGTTGCAAAGGATTGTGTGTCCAGTACATACTTTCTGAGTTATAGTCTGCTATATGCATTGGGTATCTATTCCTAGTACATCATGATAACGTAGATTCTGCAGAGGGTGGTCTAACAGTCAGCCTGTGTGACAGCGCCATGTCCCCCCCTCCCACTGCAGGCCCCTTCGGACATACCATCAAGCAATATTCGCCCTCGGGGAAGCTACTGCAGGTGTTGGGCACAGCGGGAGAGGCGGGGTCTAGTGTGTCCCCACTACAGTTCGACCAGCCGGCTGAGATCTTTGTCCACAGCTCGGGGGACATCTACATCGTGGACGGGGATGGGGGCCTGAACAACAGGCTGATAAAGCTGTCCAAGGGTAGGAACAGCGGCACCACCTGTTGGCCATTGCAAATAATAAACAATAATAATAAAATAGCCTGTGACTGACGGCTCACTTCAGCACCTTCCCACCCCCCGCAGACCTGCAGGTCCAGTGGATGCACGGCGAGAAGGGGGCCGGTCTCGGTCAGTTCTACATCCCCCACAGCGTCACCGTTGACTCCTACCAGAGGGTGCGTAATAAGAGCAGATCAAATGGGGGGGGGTCATCTTTACCTGCCTCAGTGTCTCGACCAGATGACCCACTCCCCCTGTTCCCCATGCATCATCAGCCAATGAGAATCGCCGTTTGTTCAATCGGCCGTCTGTCCCTCCCAGGTGTGGGTGGCCGACCGTGGAAACAAGCGCATCCAGGTGTTCAACTCGCTGACGGGTGATTGGCTGGGCTCGTGGGGAAGCTGCTTCTCAGAGGACGCCCCCTACTCCGTCCGGTACAACCATGTGACCTCTGTCCTCATAAGCAGATGAAACTCAAATAAAATCATGTCCATATTTCACTGATTCATTCATAAGGCAAATGTTTATCTAAACTTATATAAAACACTCGAGCAAATAAACTCTTTACAGGAGGTTATATATAGACTTAAAAAATATAATGATAGTTCTTGCTTTCTGAGTTCCCTATTTAGGAGTTTATATCTTTACGAGAATTTTCTGAGGGAAAAATGCAAATTCCAATTTTTTACAATAAAAAAAAAATTGCATGTATCTCCAGCCCACGCTGCCCAAAAATGCTGTCTGTGGCCCAACAAAAAGCGTTCAGATAACTTTGCTTTGTGAAATATCTGACTGTCCATGGAACCAAATTCATCGCTTTTATAACATATCTATGGGAAAATAGATCATTCGGAACGATTTCGCTCGTAAAGTCGAGAACTTCCTGTATTCTCCATAGCTTCAGTGCTGACCGTCATCTGGTGGATGATGTCATCTCACCGTTTTCTGACTCCTCCCCTCCACAGGCTCACGCCAGATCAGAAGTACTTTGTGGTCGTGCAGCTGAACACCAATCAGATTTCGCTTCTGGAGGCACCGCCGGTGGGCGTGATTGGTCAGTGCCGGGTGGCCAGCGTCATCCAGCTGGCAGAGGACATCAAACCCCACCTGGTGGACCTGGATCTGAAGACGGGGGCCCTGTATGTGGCCGAGATCGGGGCCCAGCAGGCACAGAAGTTCACCCCCTTCACCTTGGGGGGTGGCTTCCTGTAGGGGGACAGGGTTTGTGTGGCTGTCACACTCCGTTATTGGAGGAGAAGAAACTATTCATGTGACTTATCAGAGGAGATCACAGTCTGTGGGATCTCTTATCTGTAAAAATAAGGAAATGACACCTTATTACCCACACCATTTAAAACAGGAAATTGGGGGGCGGGCTCTGTGGGCCTGCCACAATCTGTAATTCGTCGGACTTGCTGTCATTCATCTGGCTGCCATTATTTGCCCAGTTCCATGGCTTGCTTGGAAATGAATCTCCATAATACTAAAAGCGTGGATAACCTCTAACATGCAGCTCCAGTGTCAGTGTTTTGAGCCCCGAAAGGGAAAAGACAGTGAAAATACTGTGTGTTTGTCTTGAAATGGGAATGATACGGATTTTTGTGAAGAATCTAGTTACGCTACTTGAAGATCATTTTACATCCTTAATTTATTTTGCCATCTGTATGAACAAATGAATGATCTCTGATTTTGTCTGGGGCTCTTTCAGTAGATGGCTTCGGGTGCATCTGCTGAGGTCTTTTAATATGTATATTTTGTTTGAATATGTGTTCAAATTGCTGTTTATATACTCAATTGTCTTTACTGATGTCCAAATTAACCTGCAGGTTCCCATTATAATTTTATCCTCGCCTGTAATGCGGCTTCTCCACATTGCTAAATGAAAAAACTCTGGAAAAAAAAACAATTGTGGAGACCCGCCACCAGATGGCGGAAGAGATCGTAGGTTGCATTGAACCGCATCCTGCTTACGGGAAGAACTTTTCACACATTCATCGCGGCGGAAGGTGTTCGGCTGGTTTAAGAGCCCGCAAAGATGCTGCAATTCAAGACCCTTCCCTTTACATTATGTTACAGTACTCTGCAATTGCTGAGTATTAACTGCTGTTAAAAATTGCAGACAGTTTAATCAACCCTGAAGTGCAATTCGGTGATTATTTATAGTATTTGCTGATTTCCCATTTATTTTATGTAATGTTTAAATCATCCCCTCCGGAGTCTAGTCCCTGTTCTCCAGAGCCCCTGCCTTCCAGACCACGGTAAGCAGGTGGATGGATGGAATTTATAAGTGACAGGAGAATGAAGTTAATTGATATGTTCATCTTTCAGAATACAGATTTTACGTATTAGTTTCTTTGGCATTTTAGTGGGGATGAATCTTGCGGGGGGGTAGAACTTGCGGGTACTCTGGGTGCTGCGGTTTCCCCCTATAGTCTAAAACATGCTGAAGCCAAATTACTCATAGGTGTGTGGGTGAGTGAATGGTGTGTGTGTGTGCCCTGCGATGGGTTGGTATCCATCCTGGGCTGTTCCCTGCCTTGTGCCAGTAGCTTCCAGGACAGGCTCTGTGACCCTGAATAAGATAAGTGCAGGTTACAGAAAATGGATTGATTTTTTCCTGAAATAGAGGAGTGCGAGATGTTCCCTCTGGGTTTACAACAGTCCGTCAGGCACCTGAGTCATCACCACCCCCGAGTTTCTCCAAAGTAGCATCTTTACTAACAGCCTCGCTACCCAAATGCTCACACTTCGTGCCAGTCCTCCAATTGCACCTGCAGCTGAAGCCCGCCAGAAGCCCGAAGACCACTTATAAATACAAGCCTACATGAAATATACTAAAGGGTGCCTCACCGCCGGATGAGTAAGAGAAAGAAAATCTCGTGTTCGTTAAAAAACAACACTGCTCACAAATTCTCTGGTTTCAAATATGAACCCGTAGCACATATGCATTCTGGTATTATTCCACTCTTCTGTAAACAGGGAGAGCCGGATCCACATACAAAGGAAGACGTTTCTTTCTAAACATTAGGCTATTATTATTCTCCCTGCTGGAATTCCGTTTTTTCTTTCAACTTTCAGGTTTGTAAAGCTCAAAAAAAAGCCCCGCTCTGCGCCGCGTGTCTCCCAGCGATGAACTCCGCTGTGAATCATATCCACTAACATCCAACGATTCAAACGGCGCCGTGTCTATTATGCAAATAAGGTGCGTACGAAAGAAAAAAAGAATAAAGTTTATATTACACACATATATAATTACATATTACATAACACGTCACGGGAGCAAAGTAGCAGATCAGAGTGCAAATACAATAGCGGTGTGGGGGACTTAGGGAGCATTAAGATTTAATGTGGTCATTAATGCGGTAAGGGAACAACAAACTCACTTTGTAAAGGGAAGCAGCCAGCCTCAGATAAATTAACAGCCGAGAAAAATCAAAGAACTCGTACACAATGAAATTAGCACTTAAAAGGCTGCCCTCTTTCTCCTACGCATCTGTAACTCGAGTTACTATGGGATTGCAGTTAGAAAAATAAAGCCTCCAAATTAAGACTACAGCCGATTTAGCGAGCCTCGTTTCTTTCTTGTGTTACTATGCAGCGCCAAGGATAAAAGACTGGATTCGCTGGCCAATTCCAAGTCGATATTTGTCGGCAATACCAACTTTCTCCAACAGATGGCAGCTCAGTTTTTGCAGATTTCACTGAACGGAGCGTTCAGACTAATTCGGTTCAACTCAGTTAATTTTTAATATAGCGTCCTTCACACCATAGTGCCCAACAAAGCTATAACTGTCTGAAATGTGGTGCCTTAATCCTACCGAAGTCATGTGACATTTTCATCCAATGAAAAGCGACGAACAATTCGTATCACATCAGAGTTACGCATTAGCTCAAGCTGGTCTAGATGAAAAAAAATAACAAGGAAAAATGATGAGTCTCTCATCGAGTATGACTGCTTCGTGCATGTGCTGGTACACGTGTGTACATTTACACGCCCAATACTCAAAATCCCCCTTGCGGTTAATTATGCATACTGACTGGGAAAAACTGTCCCAAGAACTTCGCAAAATGCCACGATGCCTGCAGCGTCTCTCTCCAGTTCTGGATGGAAATAGGTGACACTGTTCTGCCCTTTTGATAACATATTCCTTTGAAGACAAAGGAGGCAGGTTGAGCTCGTAAACGTCTGTCAGGAGATGGATTAGAGATGCACATATTTAAACGGCTTCCTGAACAGCACGGCTGAAAACGGTGTTTGTGCCACAGAGACAGAATCTCTGAGACAGTGCTTTGCGTGTCTCTGTTGGGGTCTTTTTTTTTAGGTGCGTGGAGCTTTGCGGTGCGTACGACAGCGATGCATGTTTAAATCACAGTGTGGCTTTAGGAGGCTGTCCTGCCGGGCAGGGTTGGCTCCTCCCGAAATAAAGTCCACACGTGTGCAGCACGCGTGTCCCTGGAGGGTTTCAGTCCTTCTTTCTGACTGTGTGCAAGCAGCCAGCAACATGCTGTATATAAATAACTTCTCAAAGTCTGAACAGCTTCTTTTTCCTTGCTACTCCTTTACCTACAGACACAAAACCAAAGAGTGAAGCTGCACCTTGTAATACATTCATGCTTTTCTGGCTCTTTCCAAACTCAGAAGCCCAGGTTACCATACCGAAAATAGGGGCCCAGTAAATCAGCACCCCGCCCCCTGGGGAAGGAGCAGGGAGGGGCAAAGCTATATAAATACTTCCCAAAAAAACCCACACGATAATTATGCTCGTATGGAAAGTACTCATTTATTTGGAAAACCTGGATCTTAAAAACACATGTGGTCTCCAGCACTGTGATGTGGATTTAAGCGTAGAGCCAAACGGGCAGGCTGCCCCCCTCCCCCCCTTATCTAAACGGTGGCCTCACAAGTGTCAGGCAGCTCTGAGGTTCCTCCCTCGCGTCCCGATCCTGGGTCGCCTAGACACACCTGTCTGCTCCAGCAGTGAGCCTGTAGACAGACCCCCCCCCCTCCCCAAGTAAGGCAGCACCCCCAGGGTGCTAAATTTGGGCGCAAGGCTGATTGGCCAGTGAAGGGGCAGGGCATAGAGACATTTTCTAGGATAGGGGGACAACCTTGATCTCAGGCAGACAGTAACTCATCAGGTAGGAGAGAAAATCTGCTGGATAACAGCACAACAGGATCTGGTCTGCAATCCCCTGATCTGGGAAGTTCTCTGAGTGCCTTTACAGAGCTGCACTTCATGGGACCAAACATTCTCCTACTGTTCTATAACACCCCTCCTAAACACAGAGAAATAAAGGTACACACAGGGTACAATATTGAACCTCCAGGTTCAAAACTGTTCCTTTCAGTTGATTGTACCTCAAAGGGTACAGATGACTAGGGAACAAAAAAGTACCTGCGAGGATAGGTACATTATTGTTTTTCAGAAGGGTACTGCCCCAGCGACAAGCATTTGTACCCATATAGGTACACAGTGGTACTTCCATTTCTCTGCATGTAGCGTAAAAAGACATGAGGTGTTTCTCAATACCTGCATTTGACCGTACTTGTGTTCTCGTGTACCTGTTTTACGTTCCAATACTAAGAACACAAGTAGGCCTATAGAGGACAGTAAAAATCACCAGGATGCATCGGTTGCATCCTCACCGAAGGAGACCAGTCCCACGATTCATTTAGAATTAGTGATCAGTGGTCATTGTTGACACACCACAGCACAGAAATTGTGTCCCAAGTTCGTTCTAGGGAGGAAAGTTAGCAAGACCAGTTTTGCCAAGATTACAAGTACGATCTTTGTGTCCTTGGTATTGAGATTCAGCCATGGTTTTACATCCTTACTTAAAGAAAAAAATATATATTGGTGACATCAGGAAGATTCTCCAAATAACTCACATGTCATTCCCAAAACACAAGACCTCAGTCTTACAGGCATTAAAGAAATGAATGTGTATGTTATAATCAGAATACATTTATTATCCAGGAGAAAACTGCTTAAACTCTTGGGCTGGTGCATAAAATAGGCCTAGAATATTCTGAAGAGTATTTTGCTTTTATTCGGCTTTTTCCCGCACAGAAAAAAAGTACTCGGCGATATTATCCATCTTCGATTTAGATAACAATCAACGTCAATGGAACCGATGAAAAACTAAAGCGCAAACGCATATTTAATCTTGTTCATGGTATTACTTCTGCCAACGCGTAGTTTCACCCGGCTATTCTACCCGCCTTAATCGGGGCTTTGAATTTGAAATGGAGCCGGGATCGACCTACTTCTCGCCCGTATTCATGAGAGAGAAGGCGGCTTGATTTCAGACCGTGCGCCGCATGTGTTTGTGCCGTTAATTGAAGGCAGAGGCAGGAATGCCATTCAAAGCGAGGGCTGGGGGGGAGCGGGCGCCGAGGGAGCTGCAAGCCGGGCTGCCAGCTTGCCAGTCCCCGGAGTTCGGATGATGACTCCAAAGGGGATGATCAGGGTTATGGACAAATACATGCGATGCACGGTCAGTGAAGTCTAGTTTGAAAGCAACCCAGAAAATATAAGAGCTAAAGGAATCTCCCCGGGAGAGTGTCCCCAAAATAAATTGAAAAGAGGAAGAAGGCGGGCAGAAACTTTAAATACATGCCTTTTATCCCGTTTCAGAGATGCTGTTCATAATTACGGGCAACTGTTCTAGTGCGCCCTCTCGTGGCTGGTTTGATAATGTCCACCTTTTGTGTCTGGTAATAACGTAAACATAGAAAGCAATGACCAGAAGCGCAGGGAAAGGACAAGCAGGGCAGGCAATGGCTACAGGGTACATTGCAACGACAAATTTTCTTTATTTGTGTATTCCGTTTTTCACAAAAGTGAAAATAAAGG